TAGAGCTGAGGGGCCACGCTTCGGCATTCATGAGGTGTATCTGGCAGAGAAGACTGGAGCCCCCCCGGCAAGATTATTGCAGCACGTGGTGGTCGAGGTCATCAACAGATCTCAGTCCGTTGTTGCACCAGGCTGTCCACGGCAATGGTCAGAGAAACTGTGAGGCGCCTGCTGGGGCGTGTTACCGACTTGTTTCGGGCTGCCCACTCAAGGCCCATACCCAGACCGTGCTCATCAAGCCTAAGCTGAGTTGGGATACGTAAATCAGACACTTGCGTTAGTGAGCGTTTTCTTATTCGGCGTTTCGGCGTTGGGCGGAAGGGGGGGAGGGGGGGGTGTCTGGCTCCGGACCTCTGCTTAGTGCGACTGTTTGCAGCAGTGCGTCCTATGGGGGAGACTCCACCTGCTCGAAAGAAGCGCCAAAAACAACTAAGATCTACTCCGTGTGGGGGGGGGAGGGGGGGTGCGAGGGCCCGCGCCGATTCGCAAAACAATGATAAAAACAATAATTTAGTCCTCTTGGTGTTTCGCACGCGGTGCTTCGTGGTATGGTTGCGGTGGCAGAGAAGTGTGCGCGGACGGCCAGAGGCAGAGCCCTCCATGCCTCGCTCCATGACTTTCGCAGTTTGTTGATAGCGATAGGCACACCAACCATCATGAGCTTACCGCAGGATCATCCAGAAGCCACCTCCGCCGGCGGAAGAACTGTGCACAGCAGGCTGGGTCTTACACCATCCTGAGGATACTGTGGACTACAAGCTTCGGAAGTGGCACAGCTCGTCTTGGAGCACTCTGGGGCCGTTTCGGGCGCCTCTTGGGCTGTCTTGGGCCCTCTTGGGCCGTTCTGGGGCCCGCTTGGAAGCCTCTTGGGCCGTCTTGGGGCGGTCTTGGGGGCCTCTCAGGCGACAACACCAAAACCCTTCAAAAACCAAACGAAATCAATGAGTGTGGCCTCTTGGGGCCCCATTGGGAGGCCTCTCGGAGGCCTCTTTGGCGGTCTTTGAGGCCTTTTGGGCCGTCTGGGGGCCATCTTGGGCGTCCTGGGGCGATCGTTCGTCGACTCGGGGTCCTCTTGGACCGTCTTGGAGGGGCGACAACGGCGTGGACCGTGTCGAGGCCACCATGTCCTCGAGGTCATGCGGGAGGCCGCAGAGCTGGCGGAACTGCCAGGCTCCCCCCGCACAGGTCGGGAGGTGACCACACGATCGGCCTCGTGGGGAGGATCCCGAGGATCTGGTCGAAGGCGCGGGAGCACATTGTGCAGGACTGGGCAACGGTGTCGCAGCCACACTGGGGGCGGTGCTGGGCAACGCTGTCCTACGAGCAGGCGTCCTCCGAGCTCTCGGCGAGGTCCACTCGTAGCTCGGTGCCCCGTTCGGGCACAGCTGCCTCGAAATCCAGGCCTTACACGGCAGCATTTGTTTGCTCCGCATGCCAAGCCGGCGCTGGCGCCGGGTCTCCCACCTATCATTCTGCGTCTCGAGCTGTACTTGTGTGTTGCCCCTACCACACTAGCTCAAGGCTCATCTTTGTTTTCAAAAGCGCTTCAGCCGAGCCGGCGCGTGATCCAAGGATTGCGCAACGGCACACGTTTCGCAATTGCATGACATATGTTATTCTCGCCCGTCTTTCAACATCACACCTGGTGGACGGCACGAGGGTGTGGGTCGACGACCTCTCGCAATATGTTTCGGGTTTTGGGCTTTCGGTCGCAAGCGCTTGGTCAGAGCTCTTTCCGACACCAGCCGCGGGCTGGAGGATGAGGGCCTCAGCGTTGCACTCAAAAGCGTCATCCTCTGCTCGGACCATCGGCATGCCAAATCGGTGGCAAGAGCCCGCAAGCGTCTGGGGATCACCGCTGTTCCGGTTTTGCAGGCGAATTGCTCAGGAATTGACGCTGGCGCGGGCAGACATGCCAAAGCCACCAAGTGCAAGAGAGCCGGCAATATTGCGGCCATGCCTGCAAAGATTTCTCGATTTGGCCACGCTTCGCGCCGATACAGTGGAGGCCAGTCCACGAGAAACCTTCCACAAGAAACCCAGCCCTGAGACACCAGGACGTCCATCGATGTTTGGTGTGGGAGCGTCACGCCTTCCATGGCAAAACCATCGAAACCCAAGAAACCCAGGGCACCCTGGAGGCAAGCAGGGTGTTTCTTGGCATGGGCCTCCCCTGGAACGCCGTGGTTTGCTGAGCCCAAGCTTCGGGCATGAGCGCACCAGGCATTGCCGCAGGCTGTCGCCAAGCTGGCCGCACTTGCCCCAGCTCAGCGCAACAGACACGTCAGGGGGACCCCGTCTCGGCCACGGCCACCGGGTGGGGCACCAGGCCCACAGGGAACCAGTCTAGGGAGGCTGTCGTCTTTTGGAATGGGACTTCGGACCTGACGCCAACTTTTCGGGATGTAATAATTCGGATGGGCCATCCGAAGGCAACAGTGGTCTCAGGAGAAGGGGGCCGACAATCGGTCCTACCGCCTGTGCATCCGCAGACCCGAAGGGCCACCAACTTGCAACGATCCTGTTTTGCGTCACCGTCGGAGGCACCTGGCCCCTGCAGCGCATCCTCGCAGAGGTAAGTGAGTCAATTGATCACATCTGCCCCAGGTGCCGTCTTGCGCCTGAGTCTGCATATCACCGGGGTTATTGTGCTGCAAGAGTGCGGACGCTCAATCTTACACGGCACCACCTTGCTTAGCAATAAAGGCTATGACCAAACACGGGTTGAAAACATGCTTCGGGCTGCGCAGGATTTTCCCAACGAGTTGGAGGGCCGTACCTCCGCACCATCCTCACCACGGTGGCAGTGCAGTGGTTTCGATGGCCCTCTAGGGCCTGACTCACTCTCTGGGTCGTGGGACTGGCAAGGCGACCACCATCCTTTTCGGTGACGCGAGAGGGGGCCGAGGCTCCAGGAACCCTCACCTCAGGCGTGTTGGCCTGAGAATGGCCTCGGCGTCCTGTGTTAACCCGTGTGTTGTCAGCAAGGCCCTTCGAGGACCCCTCACTGAGCCCACCCAGTCGGTCCCTAGGGGGGAACTCGGAGCCCTCAGAGTGGCCATACAGTACACCTCAGGGCCAGATCACCGTGAACGAAGCGTTGATGATAGGCTGGCATCGTGAGTGTGTCTGTGTTCCCTCGTGGGATAACGGGGACTTGTGGGCCACGCTTGGCAGGCTCCGTTCGTCCCTGGATTCCCCTGGCACCTCAATGTTGCAAGTCTCCTCGCACCAGAATCGGGTCGGGCGAAAGGGGGGGATAGCAAAGGGGGGGTTTGAGAATCAGCTCATGTAGCTGATTCTCCCGGCGCCTCCCGGCGCCGGAGGCGGCTATGTATCGAGGAAGGGGCCCCTCGGTGAGGCCGAAACCAGCTGCATGCAGCAAATTTCGTACCCCCCCCTTTCCCAATCCCCCCCTTTCGTCCGGCCCGACAGAAAGCCCGCGAACTGGTGCGTTCGAGGTCTCCGCAGTGGCTCGCTCTCGGCAGTGCAGCTGCCGACGAACTGGCGGGGCCGACGGCCTCCGAGGCCAGGGTCGACGCCGCCCCGAAGGCTCTGGTTGTTTCGGCGGAGCACACGGCTGGACTCGTCCGTCGCCGGCTGCTCAGAGCCAGCCTCGAGTCAGTCCAGGCGGGCTCTAATTGTTTCGGTGGAGCACACGGCTAGACTCGTCCGTCGCGGGCTGCTCAGAGCCAACCTCGAGTCAGCCCAGGCGGAGAAGCGTTCACCAAAGCTTGAAGGCAAAAAGGCGCGCTGTCCCCCTTCCTCTGCTTCTGCGTGTGCTCTCCCCTTCTCTCCCCACATTCTGCCCAAGGGTGGAACAGGCTGCCTGCGGTGTCGTGGCAATGTGTTTCACGCCCGACTCGCACCTTGACGGAACAGTGAGCGTGTCGAATTCACCCCTCAGGATGCCAAATTGTCTCGTTTGCCGAAGGGGCGGAGCATACACATTGGTGGGGGAGAGACGCACCCCACTCACAGCATGCTATATCATCATGTGTTGAAATTGTGCTTCTGATGTTCGTGTGGTTGTTACGGGAGTGTACGTTCAGGGGTCTAAAACTTTTGCGGCTCTCGGTGCACAGCCGATGGCCACATTACGGAGTCCGTCCCCCGTACCACCCCCACACGGGAGATCTATATCAGCAGAATATTGGAAGGCAAATTGTCCCCAAAGTAGATAAAGCCTCCTCCAAGAAATGGATCGAATAACCAGCTTGGGGGTGGTATCGTAACTTAGCTTCGCGATCGGTCCTATACTGTCCTATCCCTCTCCCTTTTCCTCATCCTCACTCTCACTCCTCTTTCGCCCTCATTCTGCACACAAACACACACAATCACACACACCTTGCAATGCCCCCCCCCTCAGGCTCCGTCGACAGACGACCGACGACTACGCCCTGGACTGCCATGTGCTCGGTCGATAAAAACGTTTGAGTGGCCCGCGGAAGGCGAATCGGAGCATCAAAGCGGCGACGTTTTGAAAGAGCCTCGTTTGGCTCTGACTGCTAGAAACGGGTGTGCCCTGCCGGCGCCCACGGAAGCGGCCAAACCCTGACCAACAACGCCTGGCTCCCTTCGCCCCTCTCCCGCTCCTGCGACGGCGGCCTGGACGAACACGAGGACGACGACCTGGGGCGACGACGACGACGACAACTGGCGCCGTCCTTCGGGCTTCTACTGACCCAGGTCAATGCAAGCCCGGGTCAGTCAAGCCTTGCAGGATCCTGCAAGACCCTCCAGCATCCAGCAGGGTCCTGCACGCCAGCCCAGGCCAACGCAACCCTGGCTTGGCCGGATCCTGCAAGACCCATCGCTCTGGCTGACCCCCGCTTGCCGTTCGCCGCCTGCCCCCGTCTCTACCAGCTCGAGTCCTGAGCTTCTGGGAGGGAGTCCCCGTGAGGCGCCTGGCCGCTGGTGGCCCCTGGAAGCCGGACGCCCCCCGAGAAGCCTGATCCTCAGACCTCGAGCCTTGCGGTGCCGGCGGGAGCACGCGCCGCCTACGTACTTGGCCCCGTCCGGCCAGGTCTCCTGGGAGCACGAGAAAATCGGAACCACTGTCGCCAGGAGCGAGGGAACTGCTGTTGGGCCCTTGCAGGTTTGCTCGCACGGGGGGGGGCGGAGAGTGAGGGGCCTGCCTGAAGGAAATCTGTGCTTCACGCAGTTCGAAAACCACTTGCACGCTTACCCACCGATCGGAAGAATCAGGTAGAAACATGAGGTAGGAAGGCGTTGAAAATAGATTGGGTGCCCGCCCGCCCCCAAGAGAGGACTGAAAAGGTGAAGCCACTCGATCATTGAAGTAAGAAGGCGCTTTAAGTAGATTCGAATCTGGGGGTCCAAACATACAGTCGGCGCGTTGACCTAAGGAACCCTAAATAAGGAACGAGGCCCCTTTTTCCCATACGTTAAACTTCGACTTCCCATGGAAAACCTGAGGAAAACCTCAGGCAAACTGTTAAACAATCAAGGAACACCGAGCCCCTCCCCAACGAAAAGGGTTCCTTCTGCAGCGCCCCGACTGTACCCACTTTCAACGACCGATGGGTACGTGTTCGACCATGGACCCCATTGGTACCCATCGCCCTTGGGGTCGGCGGTCGTCGGCAGCCTTCGGGCGGTTCTGGCGGGCTTCGGCGGTCCTCTGACAGTCTTCGGCGGCTTCTGGTGGTCTCTGGCGGTCTCGAGCGGTCTTCGGCGCGAAAGCTGGATGGTCGCGCTCATCAAAGGGTCCATGATCGAACACCTGAGCTCAGCACTGTGTCCCACAGGCGGCGGGGGGCGAAGGTGGGGGGGAGCAGCATGCCCCGCAGACAGAGCAAGCATTCCTGGGCCAGGGGCCAGGGCGAGGAAGAGACACGCTTTCGGAAGGAATATCCTGGTAATGTGTGCTATGTTGCATCCTCGGGGGACCTTGCCTGTCCCGTCGCGGCCCTATCCGCGTCGAATCCGTGTCGAATCCATGTCGGACTCGTCGGATCCGTGCCGAATCCGTGTCGAATCCACGCCAAATCCGCGTCGAGTCCGCACCGGGCCCAAGTCGGGCACAACAAAAAAACACCAACTTGGGGGACCGGCGAGGCGCCCCGAAGATGCACCCCCAAGGTGAGGTGGAGACGAGACGCCTTCCCCAGGACCCGTTCTCCATCCCGAGCCGTTTCTGACCAGGGTTAGGTCGGGCATGTCCTCCTACTGCTGGATTTTGGACCACACATCAAAATAAGTCAAAACAAAATAAAAACACAGTAACAAATAGATTTGTTTACAAATCGTCCCCAAACTATTGTTCGACTATGTTTGAATATTCGCCCTATAGAGGAACATGCCCGCCTCAAGACCAGGGCCCAGCCCTGACCCCCCCCGCAACACAAAAAAAAAAAAATCGGGTAACGACCATAGCAGTCAGGAGCTCTTGCTTCGCGTGCCGCGCCGGCGGCCCCGACGACGAGCCCTGCCCTGCGAGCGGACAGCGCGTCGCTCCTCGCCGCGTGGCGGGAGGCTGGGCATGCTCTGGACGTCGACGCCGGGGGGCCAGGGCTTTGACAGCGTGTCGCGCCGAGGCGTGGTGGGTCAGAGCCGGCGGCCCCTGCGAGCGGACAGCGCGCCGCTCCTCGTCGCGTGGCGGGAGACGGGGCATGCTCGGGACGTCGACGCCCGGGGGCCAGGACGTGGACGGCGTGTCGCGCCGAGGCGCGGTGGGTCAGAGCCGGCGGCGCGACACGCTGCGCCAGAGATCCCGACTGTAAGCTCCTGTTGCTAATCTCTGATGGCGCGAAGAGGATGGAAACACACACACACACACAAAAAAAAACAGTCTGTGGGTAAAAAACACACACAGCTTGTGGGCAAAAACGCACACACACCCACACACACAAAAAAAAACACAGTGGGTAAAAACACACACACACAGTTTTCCGGGCCAAGTCGGCCGCCACACCCGCCCAGGGAGGCGTTCTGGCGAGGATTTCTCAGGGAAGATACGTAGCCGTGGCGAGAAGAAAGCTCTCAGGGGTGCGGGTGCCACCACAGCAGCGACAACCAAAAAGCTGCCGTCGTGTCGTTTGGTTCCTCTTGGTCTCCTCGCCGGTGCCGTGCTGCTTGTCGTCCTTCCACTGGCCGACGTACCGTGAGCCGTCGGCGTGCTCGTACGTGCCTCGGCCGGCAACCCCGAGCGAGCACGCGCGGCCCGGTCATCGTCGTCGTCGTCGTCGTCGTCGACGACGCGTCCCCCGACACGCTGGACATGCTCCTTCGCGCCTCCTCCTCCTACTCCTCCTCCTCCTCCTCCTTCTTCGAAGAAGCATTCGTGGACACGGGGTAAGTCGCCCAACCCTGCCCCCCAAACCAGCAACAGCAAAAATTAGCCTGGCGACGGACACAACCATACGCAGTTGTGAATACCGCAATTGTGAATACCATCGTCGCCCGCGCTCCCTATGTAGCCACGGCTCCCCGCCGGGGCCCGACATGCTCAGGGACACGTTCGTGGCCGTCTTCGCGGGCGCCGACGACGACGAGGACGGCGTCCCCCTGACCGAGTAGCAGAAGCAGGAGAGGGCTCTGAGAGCAATGAAGGATGCTGCCACGGGCGACATCGGTGGGGCTCCCATGGGGCCACGATCCTCGTGAGGGGTGTGCCGAAATGGCCCAAGGCCGCCATGCGAACCCTGACACTGGGGCTTTCGGTGGAGCTCCCTATGGGGCCACGAAACGTGTGAGGGGTGTACAGACATGGGGTAACACCGACATGCCGAACCTGCCGCTGTGGCATTCGGTGGTGCCGCCTCAGACCACGAAACGTGCGAGGGGTGTGCCGAAATGGAGGGTGGAACCGCATGCGAACGCAGCCACTGGGGCCTTCGGTGGAGTTCCCTGTGGGGCCACGAAACGTGTGAGGGGTGTGCCGACATGGGGGGTGGAACCGCATGCGAACGCAGCCACTGGGGCCTTCGGTGGAGCTCCCTATGGGGCCACGAACGTTTGAGGGGTGTGCCGAAATGGGGGGTGGAACCGCATGCGAACGCAGCCACTGGGGCCTTCCGTGGAGCTCCCTATGGGGCCACGAAACGTGTGAGGGGTGTGCCGAAATGGGGGGTGGAACCGCATGCGCCGCAAAAGCGAACGCAGCCACTGGGACCTTTGGTGGAGCTCCCTATGGGGCCACGAAACGTGTGAGGGGTGTGCCGAAATGGGGGGTGGAACCGCATGCGCCGCAAAAGCGAACGCAGCCACTGGGGCCGTCGGTGGAGCTCCCTATGGGGCCACGAAACGTGTGAGGGGCCTTCGGTGGAGCTCCCTATGGGGCCACGAAACGTGTGAGGGGTGTGCCGACATGGGGGGTGGAACCGCATGCGCCGCAAAAGCGAACGCAGCCACTGGGGCCGTCGGTGGAGCTCCCTATGGGGCCACGAAACGTGTGAGGGGTGTGCCGAAATGGGGGGTGGAACCGCATGCGCCGCAAAAGCGAACGCAGCCACTGGGGCCGTCGGTGGAGCTCCCTATGGGGCCACGAAACGTGTGAGGGGTGTGCCGACATGGGGGGTGGAACTGCATGTGCCGCAAAAGCGAACGCAGCCACTGGGACCTTCGGTGGAGCTCCCTATGGGGCCACGAAACGTGTGAGGGGTGTGCCGAAATGGGGGGTGGAACCGCATGCGCCGCAAAAGCGAACGCAGCCACTGGGGCCTTCGGTGGAGCTCCCTATGGGGCCACGAAACGTGTGAGGGGTGTGCCGACATGGGGGGTGGAACCGCATGCGCCGCAAAAGCGAACGCAGCCACTGGGGCCGTCGGTGGAGCTCCCTATGGGGCCACGAAACGTGTGAGGGGTGTGCCGACATGGGGGGTGGAACTGCATGCGCCGCAAAAGCGAACGCAGCCACTGGGACCTTTGGTGAGCTCCCTATGGGGCAACAAAACGTGCGAGGGGTGTGCCGATGGGGGGTGGAACCGCATGCGCCGCAAAAGCGAACGCAGCCACTGGGGCCTTCGGTGGAGCTCCCTATGGGGCCACGAATAGTGTGAGGGGTGTGCCGAAATGGAGAGTGGAACCGCATGCGCCGCAAAAGCGAACGCAGCCACTGGGGCCTTCCGTGGAGCTCCCTACGGGGCCACGAAACGTGTGAGGGGTGTGCCAAAATGGGGGGTGGAACCGCATGCGCCGCAAAAGCGAACGCAGCCACCGGGGCCTTCGGTGGAGCTCCCTACGGGGCCACGAAACGTGTGAGGGGTGTGCCAAAATGGGGAGTGGAACCGCATGCGCCGCAAAAGCGAACGCCGCCACTGGGGCCGTCGGTGGAGCTCCCTATGGGGCAACGAAGCTTGTGAAGGGTGTACCGAAATGGGTGTGGGAGGGGGAGGAGGGGGGAGGAGGGAGGAAGGAGGCGGGAACGCGGGGCACCGTCTCTTCAAAACGAGGACGCCTGTCCTCCAGGGCAGCCTGGAGAGACCGGGCGGCGATGGATGAAACGGTCGCGGCTGCAGCTCTACTACCGCTGCCTCATACGTTACTGCTGCTAGCACATGCTCCCAGAGGCCAGGGTCTGCCGTCTTGCACCTCGGGAGCTCCTCCGCATCCTAATCCTAATCCTCATCCTCCCCATCCTTCCTCATCCTACCTAGCATCCTCATCCTTCTGCTCCCGCGCGCCTCCTCCTCCAACTCCTCGAACTTCGAACTCATCCTCCTCCTGCCGCCGCAGCGCCACGAGGCGATCCCTGTCCGTGCCGCACGCGGAGCTATCGCCCCAGGGGGGCACCACCGTTGCGCGCCGCGGATCCCACCGGTAGCCACTGGCAAGACGTGTCCGTTTCTCCTCCTCATCCTCCTCCGCCTCATCCTTTCCCCTCCTCTCCCCTCCACTGCTGCTCGTTTCACAACACCCTCCCCCCCTCCTCTGATACTCCTCTTCGTCCCGTCCTTCCCTCCCGCGTTGCCCCCTCCATCACTCCGCCCTCTGTGACCCCCTTGCGCCTCATCCTTCTCCACCCTCGCGTCACGTCCTGCCTCTCCTCCCTCGTGCTCATCCTCGTGCTGCTTTCGCCCCTATCGAGTCTTCGGTGGCCTGCTCCCGCTCCGTCCCCCAATCCCCCGTCTGCTCCACCACCTCACCTGAAGTTACGCAGAGCGGTCCGCAGCAGGAAAGCACTCCGCCTGCTCCCTCCTCCTGCCCCGTACTCCTTTGTCGCTCTCTCCACCTCGACCCTCACACGTCCTTCTAATCTTCATCCGCCTCCTTCTCGCCCTCCACCTCCTCCCTCCCCTCCTGCTACGTCAGCTCCCTCTCCCACACCTGTTCCCCTCCTTATTCCTTCATTCCTTCCTTCCTCCTTCCTTCCCCAAGCCTCCTCAAACCCGGGGCTCGGCCGCGGCGGCTTGCTTGTGGGGTCCCTGAGCACCTTCGCCCTCGGCCTTGTCGTTCATCCACTGGCCGACGTAGACGTCGCCGTCGACGTGCTTGAAGACCCCGCGGCCCTCGTGACCGCCGCCCAGGGGGCGGGTGGGGACGGGGCTGGGGTAACGAAGCGCGAGGGATGGGAAAAGTGGGCGGTGGGGGGTGGGAATAGGGAAAGGACAGGAGCGGTGGGGGAGAGCTGGTGGGGGGGGGGACAAGTGCACCAGCACCATATTAGTACTACTCTCCTCCCTCCCTCGAATCTGCCTTGAGAGCGTTCGCCCCCCCCCCCGCCGCGTCCTGCTTTCTTGCGCAAAGGATTTGCGTGAACGCGCCTTGCACACGGCTTGTCTTACAATCTGAGCTCTCGCTGCAGCGTGGGCCCCATCTTCGGATCGGCGATGTGCTCCCGTCCTTGACAATAGCGCTCCCGCCCCAGCGTGGGCCACTTGCCTGGATCCTACAGGTGTCGCACGTCCCACAAGTCTCAGAGGTCTCGCAAGGAGGGAGGTGGGAGAACGTGTCACCCTCTTGATTGGCAAATCTGGTCTGAAGAAGGGGTCGGCCTTGAAATGGAACATGTTAGGAGGCAACTACTGGGAGGTTTTCGTCGGAAAGGTTAAGGGGGACTAGGCCCCATTTGGGAGCTGTTACGCCTGAGTGGGCCTCGGATTAAGCGGGATTAAGCCGGATTAAGCGGGATTAAGCGGGAGTAAGCGGGATTACGCAGGACTGAGCAGGATTAAGCCGGATGTCGGACCAGGGCAAAATCAGAATTTGACCTCCCAGGAGTTGCATCCGAAAACATGTGAGGACCCTTCCCCAGCGCCGCTTCCCAGGAAGGGTAATGCATGTATTACCCAAAATTAACGTTCCCCACGCCAAGTCGGCGGGGGGTGGGGTCACCCCCACCCCCAAAACAACCGTTGAAAAGTGAACGGGTTGCCCAAAAGCTGGCGGCGGCCCCCACGGGAAGGGTTCAAGAAAAATCGCAGAAGGGTGAAAGGCGAATGGCTTTCTCGAAGTTGGCGGCGGGTAGCCAGGGTGGGCCACTTCGTGAATCAGCACCAGTTCACTGATCCATCTTCGCCAGAACGAGTGGATCTGGGCGACAAGAACGACGGCGACGACCTGCGGATGCCCCATGGGGGTGCCCACAGATCGCATTCTGGGTGTCATAGGGCTCACAGGGCTCATGTGGGCGTCCGCAGAACGTTCTGGGTGAGCGGTGTTCCCGAAAGCTGGTCAAGGGCGCCCGGGCACGCCGAGTGTGATGTGAGTGAGGGAGGAAGAGCAAGAGGAGGAGGAGGAGGAGGAGGAGGAGGAGGAAGGAGGAGGAGGAAGAGGAGGAGGGAGGGGAGGAGGAAACGAGAGGAGGAGGAGGAGGAGGAGGAGGAGGAGGAGGAGGAGGAGGAGGAGGAGGAGGAGGAGAGGAGGAGGAGGAGGAGGAAACGAGAGGAGGAGGAGGAGGAGGAGGAGGAGGAGGAGGAGGAGGGAGGAGGAGGAGGAGGCGTCAAAACCATGACGAGAACTCCATCCCGGGAGGATGCGGGGGATGCAGCTGCTGCCTCCTGTGCGCTCCACCTTGGACGCCCGCGCTGGCGCAGCCGCTGCGCCGAGGATGCGGCGCACCGATTGCGTGCAAGGCCGCCCCATTTCCTCGTCGTCGTCGTCGTCGTCGTCCTTCCGTCCTCGCCTCCTCCTCCGGTCTCCGCCTCCTCCTCCTCCTCCTCCTCCGCGTCCTCCTCCTCCTCCTCCTCCTCCTCGTCCTCCTCGTCCTCGTCCTCCTCGTCATCCTCCCTGTCGTCCTCCTCCTCCTCTTCCTCCTCCTCCTCGTCCTCCTCGCCCGCCCCCCCCCGATTGCGTGAGGGACTCCGTCCTGGGCCTTGTCGTTCACCCAGTCGCCAGAATACTCGGCGCCGTCGGTCCACGTCTGCGTCCCGTGCCCGTGCCGCACCTGCTGGGCAAGGTGGCGGCATCCAGAAATCCGACCCTCAGGTCGGGCATGTCTTCCTACAGGCGGGGTGTGGAGGAAGTCTCAAAAATGGTTAAGGCATGCAGGGGAATATTCGAAATACAACCGAAGAATCGTCCCGAATGTATGTTTGTTGGCTGTTTTTGAACGTTCCCCCTGTAGAGGGGCATGCCCGACTTAACCCTTCTCCCAACAACCATCGACTCTCCAGAATTGGTGGGAGGCGAGGTCTCCTGAATCGATGGGAGGCGAGGGTGCCACCCCCTGGATTAAAAAATCCGGATCGGCACTGCAGGCCCCCTTGCATCGTCGCCCCCCGAGAAGTAAATATGACTGGCACGAGCACGAAATACCAAGCAGAGTCGCAACTTCCAAGCAACATAACTGGGACCGGAAATTCATTTGCGAGGAAGTCCCAAGCGAAATTGCCAATTTCCGGTCGCCAGTGAGAATTTCCGGTCGCCTGGAAAGCGTCCTGAAATTTCTTTGGAGGAAGTATTCCGCGGAATGCGGATTTCTGGTCGTCACCCCATTTGGCGATTATAATATTAGAGAGGGTGAAGATGGACCGGAAATTTAACCATGGCGGCCCCTGCAACATTGTACCGGGGCCCCGTGGCCTAACGGAAGCCGAACCTCAAGGCTTATTCCCCGACCTTTGCGGTCCGGACTTTTTATTCCAGGGGGTTGTAGGCTTCGGATGCCGCCACGCGCTCGCCGAACTCCGCACCCTAACCCCACCCCGCCCTTCGAGTTGCCTGCTTCGTGGATCGGCGAAGGCAGGGCTCGGATTTCGCCGCCGACCCGTGCGAGCGGGGCCGGCCTCTCCTCGAGGATCCGATGGGCGGCGAGCGAGGGGGGGAAGTGAGAAGGAGAAGGCCTTCTCAGAAGGCGACGGGACTTCTCAGAAGCCCTCGCGCCTTCTGAGAAGTGTTTGTTGCGTCTTTGGGGAAGGCTTAGAGAAGACCGGGGAACGTCAGAGCGTTCTGAGAAGGCCCGCGTCCCTGCTCGTTTGCACCCCTCGCCCGCCGCCGAGCAGAGGGCGGCCCAGCAGGATTCCTCGGAGGTCCGCGCGGACTTCTGCGGATCGGCGGTGGACGACCCTCCCTGGCTCGCGGAGGGCGCCAGGGACGGCGCCGGAGGCGCCGCCAGGGGGGCTCCAGCGCAGATCCAAAGAATCCGCGCGAGCCTCGGAGGAAGTATATCTATGCCGCTTGTTGCTCTTAATTTGCCTGTGCGTGGGTGTCAGCTTCTTGGGGTCAGAGTCAGCAGAAGGGAGCACTAACGAAGCACAAGTTCCTGAGAGCAAGACTGGCCAAGACGAAGAAGCCTCACAGCAATGACAGAGGAAAAGCGAAGGACATACTTTTTGAGACAGGTGCGGGCCCAAGCCAAGAACATCCAAGGGATGGAGTTTCCCTCTTCCTGACCTTAGCTGCCCCGATACGCAACACGCAACACGTATCGTATTGTTACGGAGCTCAACACGTAGGCTGAAAACGTAGGTCCGACGAGATACATTCGCCAAAATGTGGTCCAATACGTGGAGCCAACACGCAACGTATTGACACGGACGTCTTGAACACGGGACGTGTTGCGTTTCAAAACGGGCGTATCGAGGCAACTAAGCTCCTGACCCCCAACAGTGGCAGCCTGCCCTGAGCAGGCGAAGGAACTCTTCAATTCGTCGTCGTCGTCGCGCCGCCGCCGCCCCAGGCCCCCGACGTCGTTTTTCTTCCTGGTTGCTGATGTGTCAAGGAAGCAAGCTAAACAGCAAAAATAAAACAGACACACATATACACACATACACATATATATGTATTATATGCATGCAATCGGCGACGACCTCTGAAGGGAAGGCCTCGACCCATGTCTCGGGACCGGCTTTTCGGCCTGAGCCGTTCGTTGTCGGTCCCGAGGCCCGGCGAGGGCCCCCCCCAAAAGGCCGAAAACAGTGACAAATCACCCGTCGTGATTTTTGCATGACCCGCACTCAAGTACCCATAATCCTTTGGGAGGGGATCTACGGTATAGGAGGGCCAAAAACATTAAGGATAGGGGACCTCGGTTGCAGATGTCTCAGGCGAAACCACGCACACGTTTAGGAACAACCTCAAACACCGATGACCGAAGTTAGGACACGAGTTCATTGTGTTACGGTGAGGGCATGAAACAAGGAACCCTTGGACAAAGAACCCAGGGTCTGAAGGCCGGTAGATCCCCCACTGAGGCTCGACCACGGGCTTCACCACCGCCCCCTGCAGACAGGGAGCCCAGCAGGGTCGGAAGCCTTCTGGGCACATTCCTTGACGAATGCCTCGCCGTATCCAGACCCCCGACGTCAGCCTGGACATCCGACGCCTGGATCATCACGGAGGTGCGCGCGATGTTCTTGGATCGGCGCCGCCAGGGGGTGCCAGGCGCCAGTCCAAAACAAAAATCCGCGCGGACCGCCAAAAGTTCATGGTCTTGCAACATGTCATGTTGTCTGCGTCGATTCTTGCCATGCGTTAGGAGGGCAGTCCTGGAGGCCTCGCGCGGCAACTTGAGACCCAATGTGCGTCGGATTCACGTCAGATTGGCGTCGGATTCACGTCGGAGCATCGCCGCGCGAACGTCAACCCGTATCTTACGGAGCGGACGTGTTTACTAGATGATGCAAATGTTGCGCGCCTCGCGAGGCCTTTGTGGTTTCTATATGGGTTCGCCTGAAACCCCAGCACTTCCAGGGCGGGCTTTCCATTGTGGGTAACCTCAGGGGTCTGTAGTTCTGCCGCCACCCAAAAGCTCAAGGCGAACAATCAATTCCGCGCGTCCCCCGGTTCGCCCTGTCCGTCTCCTCCTCCTCCTCCTCCTCCTCCTCCTCCTCATTCTCCGCCCTAGTCGGTGACGGTAGTAGCAGCAATAGGTAATCGTAATACAAGGACGACGACGACGACGACGACGACGACGACGACGGCGGCGGCGACGGCGACGGCGACGGTGACGGCGGCGGCGGCAGAATAATGATTTGCCGAGTCTTGCCCACTATCAGAAGGGGTACCACAAAGACCTGTTGAGGTCGGTTTTGTTCGACGGTCCTGAGGCCCGGCGAGGGCCCCTGGAGGCCGAGCATAAGCCCAACGAAACCCGTCGTGGTTTGTTATACGCCGTTTTTCTTTAGGCTCTGCCAACTCTACTGGCCTGGAGGGGGAGGGAAGGGGCCTGGCGAGGCCCTCAAGGAACTCTGGACTTCATGCACATCGAAACTCACTTGCACGCCGTTTCAGCCCAGCACTGTCACATGAGGCGGCGGGGGAGGCAGCGGGGGGAGGAGGGGGGAAGGGGGGGCGGCCAACTTGCTTGAACTCAATGGAAGCCGCGCTCAGAACCAAAAACCTCCCGTGGTGATTTCTGTCACGACGAGAGGGGGTCTGGGAACCTCTCGGAGCGCCTCGAGAACTGGCGTCCCGTTCCCTAGGGAGGGCCGCCTGGTCGAGCCACTCCCCGTCGTACACGGCGCCGTTGTCGAACTGGTGCCGCCGCTTGGAGCCGGAGCTGCCCCCGGGCTTACCGACCTCTTCCACCTATCGGCGGGGGGGCGGTGATGCATTTTTGACCTAACTGCCCGATGCGCAACACGCTGCCAGTACAGTGTTGACACGGAGCTCAAAACGTAGATTGAGTACGCAGGTCTGGCGCGACACGCTCGCCAACACGTGGGCGAACACGTGCGGAGCCAACACGAAGCGTGTTGATACAAACGTTTTGAGCACGGTGCTATCGGCGAGAGAGCAAGGATACGGTCGGAAACTTAAGGATCGCGTGTCCCGGCGGTGGCCCCGACGACACGCTGCGCCTTGTAAGTGGATAGCGTGTGGCTCCGCTCCGCGGGGCGGGAGGCTGGGACATGCTCGGGACGTTGGCGCTGTGGGCCAGAAAGTGGATAGCGTGTCGCACCGAAGCGTGGTCGGCCAAAATCGGTGGAGCGACACGCTAACCAAAATTCCCGACTAGACGTTTGCTGTGAAGTCCCTGGCCGCCGCGCAACAAGATCAGCGGGGGGGGCCAGAGCGTGGTGCCTGATCTGGATCGCATCGCGAAACCGGGTCGGATCGGGAACGGATCGGATGGCCCACGAATCGCCCCGACTCCAATCCCAGATCTCCGACGACATGATGGTTTCGATCGAGGCGCATCTACTGCTGGAAGCAAGGAGAGCGACAGGGGCCAACAGTGGGAGGAGCCAGGGGGGTCTCGGGGTCTCCCTGGTGGTGCGGCCCCACCCTCTCGCTCGAGACATCCTCCGAAGGTAGTCGGAGGAGGAGGAGGAGAAGGAGGAGGAGGAGGAGGAGGAGGTATGAGGAGGAGGAGGAGGAGGTATGAGGAGAAGGAGGAGGAGGAGGAGGAGAAGGAGGAGGAGGAAGAGGAGGAAGAGGAGGAGGAGGAGGAGGTAGGAGGAGGAGGAGGAGGAGGAAGAGGAGGAAGAGGAGGAGGAGGAGGAGGAGGAGGAGGAGGAGGAGCTTCTAATTCTAATTATTTTTCTAATTCTATCTAAGGCGGGGGTCCTGCTCTAGGCAGGCCGCACATTCACATTCATGCCCGATCAGGGAACGCAGTGCCCGACTTTGGTGGCAGCCCCCTGGATAGGCGCGAGAGCACCTCGCGCCCCGCCTTCGAGGGGCAAGGCCCTCGGGCGGGGTCTCCGCACACTCCCTTCAGGATGCGGGGAGGGGCAACAGTGCAAAATCCTCCACAGACCGTGCAGAACAGAACTCCTCGCTGCACCGACAGTCGGTGGGAGGGGTGACAGCGGTCGGCCAACGGGTGGTCCAGGGCACCCCCACACAAGTCCGACGGCCCCAAGCAGTCAGGGGTGGGGTCAGCGCCAGAGTCACCCATCACCTCCCGCGGCACAAGCAGCTGAACGCGCTGCTGGAGGGGGCCTCCTCGCTGGAGCTTGTGGGGTCGCTTCTCCTGCCCCCCGGGCGTCGCCCTCCAGGGCCCGTGTTCGGGCCCCGGGACCATCAAGTGTGGATCGGGGGCGCACGACTACCTTTACCAGCCTGGAACACATCCCTATCCATCGTGGGCCCTGGAAACGACAGGGCCGTTTTTTTACCGGTTCCGTTTTGCTGTTTTTTCGCCGGTTCCGACGCCGTTTTTTTTACCGGTTCCGTCGCCGTTTTGTGACTGGTTCCGGCTCCGGTTCCAGTCCTGGAGCCGTTTTTTTGCCGTTTCCGGTCGCCGTTTTTTTTTACCGTGTCCATTTTCAAGGGACATTTGTTTGGAAACGGTGAACAAACGGCCCTGCCGTTTCCGGGGCCCGCAAAGCGCACGACTACCTTTACCAGCCTGGAACATATTCCTATCCCTGTTGGGCATCGCCTCATCACGATGGCGATCTTAGGGGTTCCCTCAGTTTCCGAGGGTGCATCCCTGAGATTGTCATCGCCGTTTGGCGTGCCAGTCTTAGGGATCGGGATCAGTTCGAGGCTGGTGGTACCTCTGGGAGAGGGGGTCGGGACCCGTCGGGCCGCGGACTCAACCGAAAACATCACGGAAGATGCCTGGGCACGCGGGGGATCGTGCATGGGGCAGCCCTCTGGCTGCGGCCCGGGCCGCGACGGGGCGCAGCGAGATTGCCGTCGCGCGCAGAGGGGCGAGGAGCAGGAGGGGGAGACAGGAGCCAGGGCAGGGGAGGCGGAGGGGAGTGGGGATAGGAGGGAAGCGAAGCGAAGCGTTATGTCGGGCATGTCCTCCTACAGGCGAGTTTGGGAGGAAAAAACAAAATACTGTAGAAACATGCTAAAACATCAAGGCATCGTCAAACATCTTCCCCAGACTATCTTTGAACTTTCCTCCTGTAGAGGGACGTGTCCGACTTAAGCGAAGCGCCGGAAACCGTCCCGACCCTATGAAATCCCAGCGGGAGCGCTGGACCGCCAGGAGGTTCACGCGTCGTGGTTGCCGGAGTGAGCGAGGGAGGGAGAGACAGAGAGGAGAGAGAGAGAGAGAGAAGAAGAGATGATGGGAACAAGAAAGTCCAGGAGGGAGGATGAGGGAGTTGAGGGGCGAGACGGGCGAGGACGAGGAGAATGAGGTTGGGGGCAGTGAGCAGGATCGGAAGGAGAAGGATCGGAAGGATCGCCATACATAGAACACGATCGGAAGGACAAGGACGTGGGACGATAACGAGAAACATGCTAAGGAATATATTGATGATTCGAGGAGGAAGAAAAGAAGAAGAAGGAGGCGTCGGAAGACAGGAGTGCCAGAAAATAAGTACACCTTCTCTACCCCAACGTCTCCATCTCTAACTCCCCCTCAAGCTCATGCTTCTTAGCCTGACCCTGTCACCTCCTCAAGCTACTGTGTCTGATCCACCTCCTCCCGCTCACGCTCCTCCATTCGTTACTCCACCTCAGTCCTGATCCTGCTCCATGCGGCCCGCCTGGTCGTCCCCGTTCTCCTTCTGCTGCTGCTCAACTCCTCTCTCCCACTCTCATGCTCGTCCTCCTCACCCACGCCTTCGCCGTCGTCTTCGTCGTCCTCGCATTCGTCTTCGTCGCCCCTGTGCCAGTCGTCCTCGTCGTCCTGGCCCCCTCCTTGAGCCAATCTCCTCCACTGCCCGCCGCTCCCGCCTGGTTGGCTCTTGCCTGCTCCATGGCTCCTGCCTCCCCCTCCCCCTCTTCCCTCTCTCCTCCCTCCCTGTCTCTCCTCTCCCCTCTTCCCCCTCTCTTCTCCCTCTCCTCTCCTTCTCCTCCTCCCTCTCCCTCTCCTCTCCTCTGCCTCTTTCCCCTCCCCTTTCTCGTCCCTCCCTCTCTCTTCTCGCCAGTTCGCGCCCAAGCGCCCCCCCCCCACTGCACGGGGCGCGCCGGGGTATTCTGTGTGTCGCAACCTCGCAGCGGCAGTGTGCTCGGGAGCCGTCGTGAAGAAACGTGGGGCCCATCGTCACCGGGCCGAGACCCGGCACGCGTGCAGTCGCCATGGCCCCGCGCCCTCCTCTCGCCCCTCCCTGTCTCAAGGGGCCCAAGCACACACAAATAAATATACATAAATTAAAGGATTACCCATATTTCCCCATATTACCCATATTTTCCAATATGTTCTGGGGAATCCACGATTCATTGTGTCTGTGTGTTTTTTCCCCTCCTGACTGTCCCCCTCGTCACCCTGGCGAGCAGCAGAGCCGGCGAAAGGGGCGCGGCTGCAAGAGTGCACGCAGAGAGCGGCTGCGGCTGGCGGGCCAAGCTCGTGCGTGCCAGGAAGCAGAGCAGAGGCAGCAACCTCAGTCGCTAACCCGCGAGGTTTAAGGCGAAGCGAAAGCCCGATGTCATCAATTTCAGCGCTGGGGTCAGGGCGTGCCGGGGCGAAAGGCGACAGGCGGTTCATTCTTCGAGCCGCGGGGGGCAAGGCCGAAGTCCAAGGTCGTGCAGCCTGCGGCACATCAGCTGCAACGCTGGGAACAGCCCGTGAGAGAAGGGCAGCAGCGAACGACTTATCAGCTGCAACGTAGGAAGTAATTCATGTGAAAAGGAGCTACGGGCGAAAGCTCGAGCTCGGGACATGCAGAGGGCGTCATATCAGCTACAACGCTGGGAGTAGTTCGAGCGAGAAGGCAGGCAGTGAGCGACACATGAGCGAAACATCAGCTACGCAGCACCCCGCAATTGCGGACAAGCGTGAGGGGGCGGGCGCGGGCGACGCGGGCGTGGCGGGTTGGGTCGCGGGTGGGTCGCGGGTGGGTCACGGGAGGGACGCGGGGTGGGTCGCGGGTGGGTCGCCGGTGGGTCGCGGGGTGGGTCGTGGGTGGGTCGCGGGTGGGTCGCGGGGTGGGTCCGGGGGTAGGTCGCGGGCTGGGTCGCGGGCGGGACGCGGATGGGTCCCGGGGTCGGTCGCGGGTGGGTCGCGAGGTGGGTCGCGGTTGGGTCGCGGGTTGCTCGCGGGTGGGTCGCGGGTTGGTTCGCGGGTAGGTCGCGGGTGGGTCGCGGGTGGGTCACGGGTGGGTCGCGGGTGTGTCGCGGGTTGGGTTGCTGAGTGGATCGCGGGGTTTGGTCGCGGGTGGGTCGCGGGTGGGTCGCGGGGGGGTCGCGGGTCGCGGGTGGGTCGCAGGCGGGTCGCAGTCTGGTCGCGGTTGGGTCGCAGGGTAGGTCGCAGGGTAGGTCGCGGGGTGGGTCGCGCGTTGGGTCGCGGGTGGGTCGCGGGTGGGTCGCGGGGTGGGTCGCGGGTGGGAAGAGACAATAACAACGCAACGCAACAACAGCAACAACAACAACACATCACCAATAACAACAGCAACAATAACACCACCAACAACAGCAGCATCAGCAACAACAGCAATAACAACACTATCAACAAAAACATCAACAACAACAATCATTATAAGACTGATCGCTCTTACTGGCGCGCGTGTCTTGCATTCCGTATACCCCAACCCTCGATACCCGCCCACTTCGTCTTCGATTGCACCCCCTTTCGGGGGGGAATCTCTTCCTTGTCGGCCACTGACTGAAGTGCGAGGAGGTCTTGAGAGAGAGCGCCGTTCCTGAGTTCGGGGGCCTCTCTGGCCAGGGGCTCTAGGAAT